ACTCAGGGAAGGTTTAGGGAAAACAATCTCAGAACAGGTTGTAATCATCAAACACGCTTAGGAACGCTGGTCTTTGAAAGCTCCTACACACTTTCTGTCAGTCGCTTAACTGATCCCCTCCCGTTGGGCATCTAGGTTGTTTCCATGGTGCGAGGGCAGCTGGGCAGCCGTGATGGCTCTGCCTGAGGGAGACCTGTGGATTTCAACCTCCTAGCACTGCCAGAGGAAGGCAGTGTGGGGGAGGCGGCATCAGAGGGCCTTCACCCTTGAGTACCACATCACCCATTAGGTGCACAGGAGGAAGGGCATTGCACTCAGAGGGAACAGCACATGCAAAGACCCAGAGGTGCAATGCGCTGGATATTGGCAAGTGTTCCCTGTACCCAAGAGTGGATGTAGGTGCTGGCGAAGGGGCGCCCTGAGGCCACGGGGCGATCATGGCGGGGGGGAGCTGCGCAGCTGTGGGGTGGTACCTGGACCGGAATGTTTGGAAGCAAAGGAGAAACAGGCCCAGTTCTGAATCATGGAAAGTCCGAGCTCCGGGCCAAGTTGGGGGAGGGGTGTGTGTGTGGGGGGGCTGTGGCAGCAATGGGAGGGGGTGGGTGTAGAGGAGGGCCCCAACTGAGGCTTTTCCAGGGACCAGGGGGAGCAGGGCCTTGCAGCAAGGGGGCAAAGTTCTCGGGGGTGTGGCATCCAGGCAGGGAGGCCCCGGCGATGCTCTGAGCAGGAGCCAAGCTTCACCTTGGCCTGCTGGCTGGTTGGGTAGCAGGGAAGGAAGGCCGTTGGCCAGGGAAGGAAAAGTCCAGATTCCTCAGCGCGTCCTGCCCCAGAGTCCAGTGCGGAGGCCTAGTCTGGCCTCCCACCCCCTCAACCCTCCTCCCTCCCCCAGTCCCCGGCGCGGCCAGACGCCGTCCACCAGTGGTGCCGAGAGCCCTTTATCAGATAATAAATAAGGCGGCTGGAGCCGTCCGTGTCAACATGTTGGCGGGCTCGCAGGGCATTGCAAGGGGGGCTGCCCACCAGGGTCCACGTGGCCGTCGAGGGCCAGCCGCCCCCACCCCGGCACCAGTGGGACTATGGGCTCAGCTGGCCCCCTCCTCTCTGGGGCTGGTGCAGCCCCACCGAGGTGCACGTAGGGGAGGAGGGCAGCCCGGGGCCCACAGCCACACAGCCCCAGTCTGTCTGGCCTCTCGTCTGCCAAAGGGGGTCCACACGGGGGCCGGGCCCCGCGGGAGCCTCACCACCCCCTTCCTGAGGGCCTGTCCACATGCTCTGGAGAATGGGACCCTGTGAACAGTTGGCGGGCTTATGGCAAAGTCGGGTGGGGAGGGGCTGTGAAGACCTCACCCCTCCCAAGACGGCCGCCTCCTGTGTTTGGTGGCAGAATGGCCTGTCTTTGATGATGGTGACAGCAGCAGCTGGTCTTCTCTAAGGAGTGTCCTTTTTTGGTCAAATAAAAAATTGGGACCCAGTGAGGCTTCCCCCAGGGAGCAATTTTCCTTCTTAATAAGCACCTTACTTTTCCAGAGGACCGCCTCAGGGCATTTGCACTCGTTTTGCAAGAGCCATCCTTGGAGGCAGCAGAGGGGAAACTAACTCTTAGCCCCAGCCCCACCCTGGAAGCTCCCAGGTCCCGGAGTGGCTGCATGCGGTGGCCCTAGGCTGCCCCGTCCCGTTGAGCTGGTACGGGTGGCTCGTGGAGCCAGTGGCAGTGACGTTCCACCGAAGGGGCCCCAGGGGATCAGTGTGCTCCCTGGGGTGTGCAGCGAACGCCCCCTGACTGCGGGGTGAGCCGGAGCCCCCGGTGTCACTGACTCTGACTCGTCCTTGGGGACGCACGTTGGGGCTGGCTTCTGCTTCAAGGAGCAAGCCCTGCAGGACTGTCCTGGGGATGCTTCCGGCCTCACGGCTCTGCCTGGAGCGAAGCAGCGAATTAAGGGCTTTAGGGAGGCGGGAGAAGGGTGCTCTGTAAACTGTTCTGGTTCAAGAAACCCCCACTGCGGGGACCCTGGGCGGCTCCCCTTTTCCTATGCCCCGTGTGCTTAATTTTCGTCTTCCCTGGCTGGGGCTTCTCCCTTCCCCAGGCGCCCAGGAGGGAGCCGGGCCGGGCGCAGTGGACAGTTTCTGTGGGCGGAGGGGACAGTGTGGATCGAGGTTCCCCCCTCGTGCTCTGCTGTAGGTGCGCACAGCCTGGCAGTGCAGACCAAGTGGCCATTCTTTCTGTTCTGTCGTCCTGATAAGTGGCCTGGGGCTGCCCACGCCTGCCAGGTTCCCCGGAGCATCCGGCTGTTGACCGGGCAGAGCTGCGGGGCAAGCTGGCGGGAGGAAGAGCTGCAGGAAGGGGGGTGCCGGAGGCTATATTAAGGCTCTGGATCCTGACAGCTTCCGGGCCCCAAAGGGGCACTCGGGGAGACGGCCTTAAATAGCAGCAAGGCCCCTGCCCAGAGGAGGGGCCCCCGGACTCCCTCATCCTGGGCGCGTCCTTCAAAGAGACTGAGGGAAGAGATCACTTCTTCCTTCCCTTTTTGACAAATCCCCCCTTTCCCTCGGTGACCCCTCTTCATGGACAGGGCACCAGCCCCTCCTCTCCATCCATGGGGACCCAGCCCGTCCTGCCCATCCCACTGTCGACACCTCCGGGAAGCCTCCTTGGGTTGGTCATGGCCGAGACCACCTCCACATACTGGGGACTCCCAGGGCCCAGGCCACTGCACATGGTGTGGATTATAGACTTGGCCACAGGCCCGTGGCACCCTTCCTCACCTACAGATGGGGAAACTGAGGCAAAGACAGCAGCTCCTGGGCTCCCAGTTGCCAGCGCTGCAATGAGCGGCTCTGCTGTCCCCTCCACGCCTGGGCCCCCACCTGGGCCCCACTGTGGCCTGGTGCCTTGTGTCACCTCTCTGAGCCTCGTGTCACCTCTCAGTGCCTTGGTTTCTCTCGTCAGGCAAGAAGAAGAATGGTGCCCGACCCCTAAGAGGGGGAGGTCAAGGGTCATGCTAGGCAGCGCAGAGCACAGTGCCTGGCCCGGAGGAGTGGTCTCCTGCTGCGACCACGACATCCCTGTGTGGCCTGTGGTCCTCGCCGAGGCTGTCTGCTGCCTCCTCCCGTCGGGCTGCTGCCCCTTGCGCCCTTGCCAGAGCCGGGGCGGGGGGGGGGGGAAGGCGGCAGGGGGGAAGGCGGGGGGGGGCGCCTCGACACTCATTTCTCCCACTTTCATGACTTGGGTCTCCCACTTGGGGACCCGACACTCTGTCATGAGCCCTGAGCGGGGAGAGGAGGCTGGAAAGGAGGTGGGAAGGGAATGCCATCCTCTCCAGCTGGGCGACCCCTTAACCTCTCTGTGCCTGTTTCCTCCCCTGTGAATGTGCTCCCGGGAAAGGCAGCCCGAGGCCTGTGGGCATGGAGATGAGACGGCACAAGCCCTTCCCCATGACAGCCGGCTCATGCTCGGGCCACGCCCTGGCCTGCCAGGTGCGTCCACCCACGGACACAGTCCCTCGGGTGCTGCCATTCTGTTCCCATTTCTCTCGCTCCAGTCTACTTGTTGAAAGTGCTGGTTGTGACCTGCCAGACAGTCCCTGGTCCCCAGCGGTTTCCTCTGCAGCCTGACCCAGTGATGTGGTTCCCGATGTGGCCTCCGCAGGGACCCCTGGATGCTGGTGAGCATGCAGGTTCTGGGGCCCCAGCCCAGTCACTGATCTGGCCCCAGGCCTGAGACTGCTTTTTAACTGGCCCCTGGGAACCCCCAGATCGGGGCAGTCCCTGCTGCAGCCCTCTGTGTGGGAGAGTGGGGACCCCCGTTTCACAGATGGGGACCAAGGCACTGAGGCTGGTGACTTCCTGTGGACACCCAGATGGTGAGAGCCGGCAGCACCTGGCCTGCCCGGGGGGCCTGATTCATACCTCATGCCCCTGCATCCCCGGGGTTCACCCCAACGCTGCCCGGATGCCTGCTGTGCCCCAGTCAGAAGTTTGAGACCCACACAGGGACACAGGAGCTGCCATTGCTCCAAACCTCGGCTCACTCCATCCCTCCACCCTAGGCCAGAGGGGCAGTAAGTGGCAGGGCAGGGACTCAAACCCCAGTCCGCCTGATCCCGAAGCAACGACTTCTCAGTGTGGGCGCCCACGCTGACCCTCGCCCTGCCGCACCCAGTGTGCCTCTCCCTGCTCACAGGTGACCTCGAAGGCACTCAGTGTTTACGGGCCTCATTAAGTCCTACAGATGCCCTTGAGGGCTCCCGATGTGACTCAGAGCTGCCAGCAAGGCCCAGGAGACCAGCCCCCGGGGAACAGGTCTCTGAAAGGAGACAGCCTGGATGATGTCGGCCTGGCAGGCAGGGGCGGGGCTGGGAAACCCCGCAGGAGATGGGGGAGAGGGAAGCAGCATCAAGGTCTTTAGTTTACCTTCTCTCTTACGGTGTCATCTATGTTTAAAAAAAGACATGACAGCATCTCATGTAAACTGGGCTGGTTAGACCTTGAGGTACAACTTCAGAATGAATGGACACATCCCGGCAGAAGCGTTAAACAGGGTGGTGTGACGGTGGCCGGCTCACGTTGGCTCACGATATTTAACAGACTTCTGAATCAAACCGGGAGTTAGCTGGGGGCGGCAGAGGGCAGGGGGCTTTCAATCGGAAGTCTTCACACTGGAAAAATTTTTTTTTCCAGGTTTCTGGCTTCCTTGGAAAAATCAGGTCTTGTTAGTGAAAGGCAGGGCATGCCCCAATCCCCTCCACTCCCTATCGCTTCCCTGACCATTCAGGTCCCTTGGGCAGAGCTGCCTCCAGCTACAATGACCAACTAATTTATCATCCAACCTGTAAGCGGAGGACTTTCGTAAAAGAAAGAAGGTGTCATTAATAATTCTGCTGGGACAACAGACCAGACTGCGATGGTCCTAGGTAAGCCAGGACACGTGGCCACCCCAACATCAGCCACCATGCGGGCCTGATGCTTTACTCTGCCCAAGAAAAACGGTCACAATACACAGATTCACTTAGAACAAGGCCCTTTACTGCCCCCTCTGGGAAAACCGTCCAAATAAATACACAAGTCCACGATGACTATGATGTGACCGGCTTCCCCTTGGGCTGGCGTCCTGGTACAGTGCATGACCTGCACATCTGTCCCTGGTATCCTGTGCTCCGAGAAGGGCAAGTTCTCCGAGCCATGGTTCTATCCATCAAATGTGGGAAGTGAAGGACAGACCCCGAGGCCTCAGGAGGTCCCACATCCGGCTGCTCCCCTCATTCTGTTGCCTGCCCGGCCTCAGTCATTTCACTTGTGATCCTGGTTTCACAAAAGGAGGCTGGGTTTTTTTCCAACTGCTGCATCTGTAAACGTGACGATGGGCTGTGCTGACAACAGAATTCAAGTTGGCGGTGGGTGCCCTGGGTCAGCCTTGGCTGGAGGGGCCAGAGTGGCTCAGAGCCTCGGACAGCGTTTGGGGGGGTCCCTTGCTGTCTGAGGGTGGGGGGTGCTCGAGCGCTTTCCCCACCAGCCTTCCTCCTGCTCCGGGGCCCAACTGCCCTCTGCACAGAAGGCCTCCCGGCCGCCGTGTGCAGAGACGCCCAGCACCTCGACGTCCCGCTGGCTCCAGTCTCTTCTGGCAGGTGGGCCTGGTGGTCTCTGCTGCGCTGGAGCAGAGCAGGCAGCGAGGCGGTCCGAGGGGGCCTGGGGACCTAGGCCAAGGCCAGCGCACACCAGGCCTCCTGGCGCAGGGCCCCGCCGAGGCTGGCCTGGGGGCCCAGGGCTGCCGAAGGGAAGGCAAAGTCCTCGGGCTCAAACTTGAACTCCAAGTGGCTGGGGGCCAGGGGGTCGTCCGCCTGGCTGGGGGCCTGCAGGGAGGACAGGGCTGCGTGAGGACGTGGGAGTGGCCGGCGGCCTCGCTGGAGCTCGGGAGCCTCATGACTAGGTGCCCTGTCTGAAGGGGCCTCCCCAGCCTCTGCAACGGCGGGGGGACCCTTCGTGAGGCCTGATGTGATGACGCACGCACAGCTTCTGCCACAGGTCAGCTCTAGGCACCAACGACCAGAGTGCCCAGCCCGGAGCTCCTGGGACAGGCCTGCGGGGGCTCTGACCTGGCTTGGGGGTCAGGGTTCCCCGAGGAGGTGCCAGGAGCCAGCTCTGGCCATCCCAGCCCACCCCATCTGCCTTACCTGGGAGGCGACGCTGGGCCCAGGGCATGAAGGGGACGCCAGGCTGGGCTCAGGTTTCAAAGTGGCCGCTGAGCTCTCAGGGTCAGGGACAGAGGACAGCGGGGAGGATGTGGTGTTCCCTGTGGACCCTGAGAGGGAAGGTGGGGTGTTACAGAAGTTTCCAGATCTGGCCACACAGGTCGCACAGCGAGTAAGGGGGGCTAGGTGTGGCCTCCTCGACTGGACCTCCTGCCCCACGTTGGGTGAGCTTGCCCCACCCCCGCCCCGCCCCAACCAGAGCCACCCAGGGCACAGTCGGGGTGTTTGTACTTCGGGAGAACAACGCTTGAGCCAGTCACGTAAATCTCTAATGGTGGAACATGACACACTCGCAGTGACTTCACAGGGAGCATGTGCGCCCCACGCGCGGGGCTGGGCTCCCTCCCGCGTCCTGGCGGGTCTGCCGTGCACCTGCGGAGCCCTTGGTCTTGGCCACGTTCTTAGGCCTCCGTTTCCGCGTCTGGATGCTTTCCTTCTTCATCGCCAGGGGCCGCGGCACCTGGCAGGGGTGGCAGGGGTGGGTGGCTGGTCCCTGTCCTCGCTCACGACGGGGCCTCTGCACAGCCACCTGCCCTGATCTGAGCCCTGCTGAGCCAGTCGCTCCTGCAGCCGACCGCGTCTTCACTGCCCTGTTTGGTGAGCTGCCCACCCACTTGGTGCTTTCCTCCAGGAGGGGCGGGGAGCAGCTGTCCAGCCCAATCTCCCACTGACCCAGTGGGGCCAGGAGGGCTCTGGGGGTGCACACAGCCAAGACCAGGGTGTCCAGCCTCTGCCCCCAGCCGAAGCACTGTGAGCGAGCCGCAGCGACGCTGTGAGCCTCTGTACCCATCTGCACGACGGGTGCGACAGTGACAGCAGGGGTTCGGTCCCACCATCAGTGAGGCCCCGGGTGACACATTCAGCCCAGGGCCAGCCCCAATGCCATCCCTGCTTCACTCCTCCCAGACCCCTGGTCTCTCAAGGTAGGGAGGCCATCAAGGGACCCCAAACAGAGGGCAGCCCCCCACCCTGCCCGCGCACTCACCCCGTGCAGCTTCATGTAGAGGCCGCAGGCGTTGCACACCGGCTCGCCGTCGGCGTTGCGCCGCCACAGTGTGGTGGTGGTCGTGTGGCAGTTGGTGCAGCAGAGGCCGGCCCGGCGGGAGGAGGACTGCGGGCGGGAGGCGGGTGTGAGCCTTGGGCTGGGGCTGGGGCCCTGGGGCTGCTCGGCCCGGCGCAGTTAGCGCCAGTGGAGCGGGAGGGACGGAAGCTGGAAACTGGACTGATGGGCGGCCAGGTCCCCGACCTCGTGGGGCTGGTGAGAAGCTGTTGGGGTGCTAGGCCGTGAGGCCTGCCCGAGACAGCGACAGCCTTGGTTCCTCGGAGCTTTGGCTCAACGCCCAGGAACCCTGATGCAGGTAGCTTCATCTTTCTAAGAAGGGCCTCGGTTTTCCCATCAGGAAAATGGGGATGATGACAGACCCACCACAGGCCTCTTGTGGGGTCAGGATCACATGAAAGCCCAGCACAGAAATGCAGCTGTTTTTTTTCTGTCATCTCTTTTTAGCCACCAACGCTGAGCCTTAACCCCATCCTTCTATGGTGCAGCAGAACTCACAGGGGCCACAGGGCCCCCCTCCGGAGGTCGGGCCCCAGGCTGAAGGTTCAGGGGCCTGCTGGTCCCTCTGGGCATGTGCTCGGCTCAACAACTCTCCATGGCTCCCCATTGCCCACTGGACTGAGAGTACCCACAACTCCCCTTGCTGCTCACTGCACCTCAGGTCAGAGCAAGACTGGACCCATCCAGAACCCTCCAGAGGCCCCGACATTCCAGAGGCCTGCCTCCCTCTCAGGCCTCCCAGCTGAGCTGATCTCAGGTTCATATCCGACCGGGGACCCCAAACCTCCCTGCACTTGGGGGCCTGGCGTGGCCCAGACACGTGAGCTCCAGGGATCCTGAGAGTGGGTCGTCTGAGGCTCAGGAATCTGGACCAGGTTAGGGCGCTGGAGGGGTTCCGCCGAGCTGGCTGGTTGGGGAGTCACTGTTGAAGGCCTGGTGGGGGCCCTTCCACCCACTCAGGAGCCCTTCCACCCGCTCAGGGGCCCAGTGCCTCTCTGTCAGGCACAGGTTCTGCTGACTCACATGTCAGTGTTTGGATGGGGTCCTGGTCACGTGCAGGCTGGGAGCCCCCGCTCTATGCTGGGCACAGGCCCCCAGGCCCCTGGACCCAAAGCCCTCCCCTGCAGTACAGCCTGCTGGGGCGGTCCCTCCCCGGCCCTGCTCCCGGGCCGCGGCCTTGGGGTGCTGCTCCCTCCTCACCCCCAGCCCCTGCCCCCAGACGCCGCTGAACCTGTCCAGACCTTTCCTCCGTGTGCACAGTCCCTGCCTGGTCCAGGTCCCCGGACCCCTCGCCCGGGCCACAGTGATGCAGGGTCACTAACCCATCCTGCCCACCGTAGCCAGGGTCACACCAAGTCACATTTGCTACGGTGTTCCAGCGCTGCCTCCGACAACGAGGACAGAAGGCCACAAAGACGCCATGCTCAAACTCATCCCAAGGACGCCTGTTCTCTCGTCAGTCTCCTCCAGCCCAGGACTGAGCTACAGGGCGACCAAAATGGAGACAGCCAAACGGAGCTGCCAAAGGAGCCCATCCTGCATTACAGGTGGGCAGATGGGACCTGCCTCAGTTTCCCCATCTGTCAGCGGCCTCTAGGGTCCTTTCTGCTGGGGTGACCAAGTGTGGCCAGCCTTGCCGACTGTCTCCTGCCCGCCCCCTTTCCCCAGGCTGTGGTGAGCCGGTCAAGGGCACAGGCCTGCCCCCTGAGAATGGCTTGGGAGGGGGGCCTGTCTGAAGCCCTCTGCACCAGCCCTTCCTGTGAAAACTCCAGAAGTGGAAGCCTGCCACCCTCCCCTCCCCCAGGCTGCAGGCACTGACAGGCTGCAGAGAATTCTGCCCTGTTTAATCTAAGGCTCGGCCTTGTCTCCAGGCAGGACTCTGCCCCAGACTTGGGACAAAAGGACCAAAGACAAGGGAGGGACGAGGGCGTGGAGGCTCCAGAGGGAAGCAGGGCCCGACTCTGGCCCAGCTGGGGAGACCCATCCTTGGGAGGATGGCTGCCAGGCTGTGCTGGGCCTGCGGTCCAGCCTCTCAGGAATCTCAGCGGTCTCCCTGGGGGCGCCTGGGGGTGGGACTGATGCACTGGCTGGAGTGGAGAGAGCTGGTGCGAGGCCCCAGCAGACCCGGAAGGAAGTGGTGGCTGCAGCCCTGGGGCAGATGGCGGGGCATGCTCTGAGGAGGAACACTGGACCTGGAGTCAATCAGGACCCCAGCCTGAGTCTCTCCCCAGGAAGCCCGTGGCGACATCCTGACCTTGTCGAAGAAGCAGCTGCTTTTGCCCGCCAGACAAGATTTGAGTCTCCCCTCCTTCCCTCCTATCTGCCTCTTGAGTGCCAGGAGCTGTGCGCACAGCCGGTGCCCCTTGCCTCCCTGAGCCCATGGTCCAGCGTGAGGCAGGTCTCCTCCCAGCCCTGCCACCTGTCCTGGCCCAGGACCCCTGAGTCCCCCAGGCCATCCACCTTCCTAAGGTGGGAGGAGGCCTTGGGATCCTCGCCAGGCCGGCCAGGTTTAGGAACAAGCCAGGGTGTCCAGCCAGATGTGAGCTTTGGGTAAGCAACAAACACTGTGTGTCAGCATGCCCCACGCGACGTGTGGGACAGACTTATATTAACATGCTATTTGCTGTTGACCTGAAATTCACATTTAACCATGCGTCTTGTATTTCATCGGGTGACCCTAACCTACCCTCCACCATGGTCCTCACCTCCCACTGTGTCTTCAGACTAAGGGGGGGCCCATGGCCTGAGCCCCCTCGCCTCCCAGACCCAGCCGGGGCCTTCAGGAGCTTTTACCAACCTTCGCTCCCTTAGAGTTTACATTGCCATCCCATGTTCCAGAAGAACTTCAGCATCATTGAACTGCAGGACTCAGACAAGAGCATGCCAGCTCCTCGGGCCTCCAGGCCACTTCCTACTGCAGGAGCCCCTCCTACAGAAACAGTCCCGTGAGGCAGAAAGACACCCTCGCAACGACACGAACGTCGGCGTTTTTTCAACAGCACGCCTGGGGGGGTGCACACACATGGGCACGCCGGCAGACACATGCACACCCCCAAACGCCCCCCTAGTCGCCTGTGCATTGCGGAACCCCCAGAGCTGTGCACACGGACAGTGCAGCCGCCTTGGAGACGTGGTTGCCGAGAGAGACGGCAGCAGGTGCAACCTGTGCAGAATACATGTGTGTGAGAAACAGGCCCCAGGAGTGCAAGGGAAGAATCTGGAAGCCACGTTTGAATCTTTTTACAGTGAGCATAAATTAAAATTAAGAAATTGGAGGGGGCTGGCTCCGTGGCCCAGCAGTTAAGTTTAGGGCACCTGGCTTTGGTGGCCTGGGTTCGGTTCTGGGCGTGGACCTATACCACTCGTTGGTGGCCATGCTGTGGCCACACAAAATACAAAATAGAGGAGGATTGGGGGCCGGCCCCATGGTCCAGTGGTTAAATTCCCGAGCTCCGCTTCAGCGGCCCAGGGTTTCACCGTTTTCACTGGGCAGGGACATGACACCGCTCAGCAGGCCATGCTGAGGGGGCGTCCCACATGCCACAACTAGAAGGACCCACAACTAAAAATGTACAACTATGTACAGAGGGCTTTGGGGACAAAAAGGAAAAATAAAATCTTTAAAAACAACAACAAAGCAAAATAGAGGCGGAGTGGCACAGATGTTAGCTCAGGGTGAATCTTCCGCAGCAAAAAAAAAAAAAAAAAAAGGGAAATTAAAATTAAGAAAATGTACAAAAAAGAATGACGGTAAAACACTTCCACACTGCTCGCCCATTACCTTCTCCTGTCCCCTCATGAGAATGCATTTTACACACGGGACAGCGAGGCTCAGAGTTGCTGAGGGGCAGAGGGCCAGTGGTGGTCCAGGGGTGGACAGAACTGCCACCCTCAGCTGAAGGCACTTTGGGGACACGTCCCCAGTGCTGCCCACACCCCCGCGGATGCCCAGAGCCTCCATCTGTGGTTCCTCACTGTCCAGACAAGGAGCCAGGCCCGGCCACTCTGAGGCCCCTCGCCACCAGGCCTCTCTGGCTGCATTCTGTTTTTCTTTTTTGGTCTGTCCTTTTCAAAAGAAGTTAAACTTCAAAGGCTGCTCTGGCAGCAGAGCAGCCCTGAGCTCCAGGCCCTGAGAGCATCTGAGAGATCCAAAGGAATCCGGGAAGGCTGCGGTGGGCAGCAGGGAGCCTGGGGCGCGCTGGCAGGGAGAGGGGAAGGGAGCGGGGCAGGGCCGCACACCCCAGACACTGGGAGAGAGCACTGCCGTTGGGCAGAGCAGTGAGAAACGGCTCTGATTTCAAAGGGGTCCTCCGGAGAGGCTCTTGGAAGTGGAGACAAGGGGACAGTTAACCTGATAATGCCCGAGTATCCCTTGCTGCTCAGGACAAACTGAGATGGGAGAGTCCGTGAGGCAGGGTTGTGCCGGAAGGAACACCCGGGGTCTGTGAGTGCTCCAAACCTCCGTCAAGGCCCCCTCTGCTTGGTGAAGGACGCTGGGCCCCACATGGCACTGGCCACTTCCCGGAGCTGGCGCCAGAGCCAGCTTCTGCCAAAGGGCTTTTGGTCTGCTGACCTTGGCCACTGGGCTCTGATATTTGGGGGCCAGGCCATGTGGGGCTCGAAGAGCATCTGGCCGTAAGAGATGGCCGAGGAGCAGGCACACAGACACCACTGAACCACCAGGATTATCCACCGGCTCGGCCACACTGCCGGCACTCAGCTCAAAGGTGCAGCTCCCTAGGCCTGTGACTAACGGCGCACTCGAGCTGCAAAGGGCCACAAAGGGCAGCATGGGCACCTGTTACTGTCACATTCCTGTACTCTGGGTGACAAGCTTCTAGCATTTGATAATCATTTAAAAGAAGGTTCCTCCTGGGGAGGCCTCCTGGGCCATCAGTTCTGGCCACACACGAGGGAGAGTGGGGCAAGTCTGGGCAACGGGCCTCGCTCCCCCATGGCGGGGAAGCCTGTGAGCTGAGCTCTGGGGGCAGGACTCAGAATCCCGGGGTTTCCACAGACAGCCTGGCTCTGCCAGGACGGGCAAAGGGCAAGCGGTGGGGCTGCCCTCCCTGAGTGCCAGGCGGGAACCCCCAAGCAAGTCAGAGGAGACACCAAGGGTCCTGCTCGAGGAGAGACAGGGAGTGGAGGGGCCCTGTGAACACCCCTGACCCCAGTCCCACGCGGCATACACTCCTGGGTGTGTTCCATACTCAGGTCTGCATGCATCTGGACATGGGGTGACCAGGCTGTCCGCCCTCTGGGGCCTGTGGCCCTGGGGAGATGAACAGGCACACAGGGAGCCCTCACCCTGCAAGGCAACCTCAAAGCTACTTGTCCCCCAGACCAGGAAACGGAGGCCTCTCCAGGCCAAGCGCCATCCACAGAGCTGGCCGAGGCCAGTCAAGCACTATGTACGAGCTTCTAACTCGATCTGTACAACACGGCATGAGGAAAGTTCCGGAATTCATCTCGCAGAAGACCCCGGACAGGGGCAGAGGGCTCAGCGTGAGTGGGGAGCACATGGGAGCCTGAGGGGGACAGTTCTGGTCGCAATGCGGGGTCGCCACCTGTAGGCTGTGAGCCCAGGGAAGTTGCTCAGCGTCTCTGAGCCCCAGATGGTCATCTGGCTGTTGTGAAGGTAAACATGGTGGCCCCTGCCTGCCCACCCCCCAAGTCAGGAATTTCCTGCTGGGAGGTGAGCCCAGCAAGGCGAGCGGTGGGGGACAGAGGCAGGGAGATTCCACACCTCCCTCTCCTGTTCAGCAGTGTGCCCTGTTCAGTAGTCATCACAGGGGCAGAGAGGACACTGGGGGAGACCATGTGGACTGTGAGGGTCCCTCTCCTTGAGAGGCACGGTGTGGGTGCAGCGAGCTTGAGGGGCCTTCAGAGCCCTAAATTCCAGGCCAGATCAGAGGAGGAAACACAGCAGCTGCTCTCAAACTGCCGGACGGGGTCAGTCCGCTTCCACCTGGCCAGTCTGGGGCCTCAGAGGGTAGGGCCCAGGTGCTGCCACAGCCGGGCTTCAGGTTTGGAGGGAAGACCTGCAGCGGGGCGCCCGGCTGCCCAAAACAGCAACCTTGGCAAGTGCTGGGCCACCCCACAGCGTCAGCCAGGGACCAGCCCGCGCCCAGGGCCAGATGCATCAGAAAGGGCCAGAACCAGCCAGCTGGCCCTGACAGGACTCACTCATCCCAGCTGTAGACTAGGGAGCTCTGAACCCCCAGAAACACACCGCTGCCCAGACCCCGACCTGGGAGCCACTGCGGCCTCGTTAACTTTATTCTGCTGGCAGAGCATCAGGCCTACCTCTTGTTTACAAAATTACTCAAACATCAGCGTTCGGCTGTGAAACGGTATACAGCAAAGTCACTTTAAACCTTTTACGCAGCTTTTGGGGGCTCTGCCTGCACCGGCGGGGGTCCGGCTCCCAGGCCCCACTCCCTACCCAGCCACAGCCAGAAGGAACCAAAAGTGAAAACAAGTTTTGCCCTGGAACAGCCACAGACCTGGTTTGGTCTCCGTCCCCACCTCCCAGTGGAAAGTGTAGAAACTGCTCTGCCAAGGGCAGTGGGCCCAGAGCCCCTCCACTGCAGGATTTCAACAACCTCCAGCCAAGCGGCCACGGCCACGCTGCAGCCGCCTCCCAGCCGCCTTCCCCTCCAGCACCAGCCCGGGGGCCGCGTCACCTCCCGACCCGCCACCCAGCCAGGCAGAAGCCCTGGTCACCCTCGGAGCCGCAGAGCTGAGCCCCGGCGGGCCGTGGACCCCCACGGTCACGTCCTGCCCAACCGGGTCCCAGCAGAGCTCGCTGGGCAGCAGAGCCCTTCCCGGGAGACCCCCGCACACCCCGCGGCCGCGCAGCTCCCAGAGCGGCGAGCCGGCAGCGGCGGGGAGGGCGCTGTCACCGGGGCCCGGCCTTCCCAGCTCCCCAGAGGGCTCCGGGCTGCGAGGGGCTGCGGCCGGCAGGCCCCTGCGCGTCCCCCGCCTCCCCGCCGCGCGCGCCGCCAGCCTGGCCCGACCCACCGGACCGGACCCGGCGCGGCCGCACTCACCAGGCGCTTCTGGGGGCGCACGAGCGGCCGGTTGACGCCGTTCATCTTGTGGTAGAGGCCGCAGGCGTTGCACAGGTAGTGGCCGGTGCCGTCGCGGCGCCACAGCGGCGTGGACAGCGCCCCGCAGTTGACGCACTCGCGACCCTCGCCGGGGAACTCCTCCAGGAAGTCGGACACTGCGGGGACACGCAGTTCGTGGGCCGAGGCTCTGCCCTCCTGGCTGGCAGGCGGGCGGCCGCTGCGGGCTTTCCTTTTTTTTTTGGTACCTTAAATTTGTTTTAAAATGTATTTTATCTAATTTTATTTTTAATTTTTTTTAAGACTTTACTTTTGTTTTTTCTCCCCAAAGCCCCCAGTACATAGTTATCTATTTTTAGTTGCGGGTTCTTCTAGTTGTGGCGTGGGGGAGGCCGCCTCGGCAGGGCCTGATGAGCTGTGCCATGTCCGCGCCCAGGATTCGAACTGGCGAAACCCTGCGCCGCCCCGAAGCAGAGCGCGCGAACTTAACCGCTCCGCCACGGGCCGAGCCCCCTGTTTTTAATTTTAAATTTACATTAAGTTCGTGCCGGACTTAAGACACTCGTCAGAGCTGCTTTCATAAGGTGGCGGGAGGGTTAGTAAACAAATCTCAGGGCGACAACAGGGACTCGCCCTCCTCTGAACCGGGTCCAGCACTGGCGTCCGTAATTTTGATCTCTGGGAGGCAGGGGCGTCCACGCCGGCAGAGGGAGGGGGCCGAAGGGCCTTGTCCTCTGCAAAGCGGGACTGTCCGGAGGGGCGACAGTGGTGAGGCTGAAACGGATCCTACAAGGACTATGGGGCCTGGCCCGTCAGCTTTGCTGCGGTCATACGTAACCTTCCTCCTCCCTCGGAAGGCAGCGCACTTCGGCCTCCACCGAGCCCTGGGCCGGCGCGCACGGGGGCGCGCGGCGGGCGAGGTCCCCTGGTGCCCTCCAGGCTGGGCCAGGCGCCGGCGACGCGCAGGCGGCCCGGGCGCCGGGTTGGGGCGGGGCGGGGATCAATCATCGCCCGGCCGGGGGCGGGCGCCAGGCGCGGGGTTGCCCTGGGCGGCCGGGGCCAAGGGGACCCCGCTTCCTGCGCCGAGGAGCCGGCGAAGGCCAAAAGGCCGCTCCGGAGCGGCGGCGACGCCTCCACCCGCCCAGGAGAGATGGCCCGAGGGCGTCTCTGCGGGCCCCAAACACAGAGCCGTGGCCCTCGGCTTTGGGCCGCCGGGTGAGAACGCGTCCGACTACTCAGAAAGCGGGCAGAGCGAATCGCCGCTTTACAGGCCTGGAATCCGATTATCCAAACTGAAACCCCGGGGAGCGACTGAAACCAGGTCTCAAATTAGAATATGTAAACATTCTAGAACAGAGATCAATGTGGCAGCTTACTTAAATAAACCAGTATTTTGAAATTCATAAAAATCATTTCCAAAACTTTCATAAAAACGTTTAAGAAGTAGGCTCTAAATTGGCAAGATCCAGAATGTCGGGTTCGGATGAATGAAAGGGCGAAGTGCACACACCTTCTTAGCAACGTGTAAAAAAGAATTTAGGCCCCAGTGTTTTTCACCCGGGGCGGCTGGGGTTGTGGCAGACGCCGTATTCCGCCCAGGTGAACGAGTCCCCAGGCTTCTGGGCCTGCCTCACGCTGGTGGCCGATCTGGCCGGGAAAGCTCTGACGTTTGGGGGAGAGGGGGAGCATTTCGTACAGCGCGGGTTCGCACCTGGGTACAGCCAGCACCCAGGACCCAAGTCCGTGGAGACACCTCCCAGCCCTGCACTCACCGAAGGTGGCTCTGCGGCCCGCAAGGCCAGCCGGGCGGCCCGGGAGGCCGTGCAGAACGCTGCTGTCGAAGGGTCCGGAGGTCCAGGACGGGGCGACCTCGGTGCTCACGTACGCCGGGTACGCGGTGGGGTACGCGGCGCCCACGGGCCGCCCGAGCGGGGCCGGATACTGCTCTCGAGCCAGCACTGCGCCCTGGTAGGCGCTGCTGTCCCGGCTCCCGACGCCGCCACCGCCGCCAGGGCCCGGCGGGCTGTGCGTGAAAGGGAACGTGGTGGCCCCGGGAGGCTGAGCGGCCGGCGGGTGCGGGCTGCCGGAGCCGAAGGCTGACGAGTCTGCCGCGGCCGCCTGCGCCCAGTTGGGGTGCGCGGCGAGCGCCGGGGGCTGCGGGCCCGGCTCACACGCCGGCAGGTAAGGCAGCATGGAGGGGACGCGCGCCGGCGGCACGAACACCGGGGAGCCGGCGCCCGGTGCGTGCAGAAAGGCGCCCGAGTCGGCGTAGGCGGCCTGGCCGGGGCTCGGGGCCAGCGCCAGGCTCTGGTACATCTTCCCGGGCGCGGCCTTGACCTGCAGGAAAGGGGGACCGGCGTCGAGGTCACCGCGGCTGTGCGCCCCGGCCAGCGCCCGCGCTCGTGCCCGGCAGGTGCTGCCGCTCGGTCCGCGCGCCCCATTCCCCAACCGGGTTGTTCTTGGGGCGGGTCCTGGAACCCGCCGGGGCAGAACGGCGCGGGGCGGGGGCGGCCTCGAGCGGCCCGTGGGGCATCCCCCGCGCAGCCGCAACTCGGAGAACTCACCTTCTCCACTGCCCCGGCGTCGGAGGTGCCCGGGTGGGCTCGGCGGGGGCTGAGAAGGAGCGGCCTAGCACGTCCGCAGGGCGCAGGGCCTGGGCGCGGGGGCGCGCCGCGCTGGGAGAAGGCGCCGGGCCGGGGAGGGGCGCGCGGCGACAGGCGCAACTGGGGCACTCACCGGCTGGTCGTCAGGACCGGAGGGCGCAGCGGTCGCGGGGGGCCGGCGACAGCCGACAGTCGGGAGGGAGACTGGGAGCCGGGGGCCGCGCTGTTCCTCAGGGAACCCCGGGCGCTGCGGCAGCCCCTCCGCGCCGCCCCGCCCCGCCCCGGCCCGCCCCGCCGCGCCGCCCCTTCCCTCCCGGCGCCCTCCCTTCCCTCCCCGCGGGGTCAGCGCTGGGGCTGCGGCCGTGGCGCCACGTGACCCGAGCAGGCCCGGCTCGCGGGGCTCGGCGGGAAAGGCAACGGGGATGCAAGGCTTGGGGCACCAGGAGCTGAGTACCGGCCGGCGCTCGGTGGGGCCCCGGGTTACTCGGGGCTTAGAGGCTTTTTAAAATTTGTTCGTGGGATTCGAGGATTCCCACCCCTCCCTCTTCACCAGCCCCGGGCTCCCGCCAAGGCTGGCCTAGAGTCCTGTTCCGTGTCTGAGGCCGAGTCCGAGACCCCGGCCGCTCCCCTCACGGACACGCCGTGGTGAGGCCCCCTCATTGCGCCCCTGGACTCGAGGCTCAGCGCAGGGTTCCGTCTTCCATGGGGATCCCAGAGTCCGTGTCCCTGGACTCGAACCGGGTGTACGACGGCCACTGCATGCGCGAAGTCCAGCGGGAGTCCCACAGTTTCCTGCATTTCTGACCAAGCAGGGCAACTTCGGCGCGCGTTCCCAGCTGGGGGGCGCGGGCGCGATAGGCAGGCGCCTTCTGGATGCATTCCCCTTCCGTACGCAAGGCCCCAGCCCAGCTCCTCGCCCCCACCCCGAGGTGGGACTTTCACTTCGCCCTGGGGGACCGTTGAAGAGTCCCCTCCTGGCACCAGAAATGCAGGATGGGTGGGAGGCTACCTGGGTCATAGAGGTTTCCCCTGGCACTCCCTGGGTGGACCCGTTGGCGGCAGCGCTGGGGTAGGGCAGGCCTCCGGCTCAGCTTGGCTGACGGACGAGGGCGGTCGGTCCAAGCCTCCCGCTAGGGCCGCGCTCTCCCAGGGGACAGCTCAGAGCAGGCGCCGAGCGAGCGACACTGGCTGGGCGGCAGCTGGGCTCACCAGACGGCCTTTAGGACCATGAATGTTTTTCTTTGCAGAACAGAGCCCTCCGCTCGCCTCGGTCGGCCCAGGGTGCAGAGGGCACTGACTGGGGCCAGGGGCCCTCCGCGGTGGACTGCGCTTTTAGCCTGCAGTGGCGCGGCCTGGCACTCACTTCTCTCCATGCGCTCTCCTCCTCCCGCCTGCGAAGGGGATTCCAGGTGTACACCGAGGCACCCAGGCTTGACCTGGCCGGACTGCCCAGGGAAGAATGTCCTGGAAGGTAGCAGCATGGTCCCCCTCACGGCCCTGGGCCGGGGACCCCATAGAAAGTCCCCAAAACGGGCTCTGGACTCTTCACCAGCCTTGGCACAGCAGAAGGCTGCGACCGGGAAGCGTGCGCCATTGGGAGGGGAGAAGGCGGCCTTCAGTGCCCGCTTTACCCTCCGCCCTCCCCCCATCCCATGCCCCACACTCGCCCACCACCCCCACCGCATCCGCTCCCACCCGCAGGGCCCCGGGTCCACGCTGCCAGGGTGGGGTCCGGTGGTTCCACTCTCCCCTGACGCGGCTACCCTGGGGATCCGAACCCGGCCCCTCCTCTCCCCACCCCCCTGTCCAGACTCGCCAGTGGATCTCGGTCTCTCTCCTCTTTGCCAGTGGGCCCCATGAGAGCGGGGAGGAGACCCCGTGCCGGTTCGGGTCGTGGAAACTCTCTGTGCCGGGGGCCATGCGCTGCGCTAGGTCCACCTCGGCTGCGCAGAGGGCAGGAAAGCGAAGCTGGTTGAACCCGCGGCCCTGTGACCCTCAGAGGCTAGAAAGTTTGATGATTCTGGGAAAATGCCCCACCAGCACTGGGGATGGAGAGAGTGAAAAAGGGGACACTTTACTTGCTGGGGGTTGAGATCTCTCCCCCCGCCAAATAGATCCAGAGAAAAGGAAAGATCCACTGCAAACCCGGGATCCTGCTGGGGCCGTGGGGGGCCGGGGGGGTGGGGGGAGGACTTGTATTTTTTATTTGGAATAAAAATCCAGTCCAGTCCTTGTGCAGCAAACACCAACATGGGGGTGGGGGGGAAGGTAGTGCTGTGTGTTCCCTTTGACGTTTCCATTTAATTCTCACACCAATCTTATGAGATAGATGATATTATTTTTATTACCATTACAAATGGGGAAACAAGGCACAGAGAGGTTAGCTCTCTTGCCAAAAGTCACACAGCTAGTAATTAAACAAGGTAATTAAAACAGCGAAGAATGCAAAATATACATAAGGAGGCAATCCCTGGTCACTTTTTCTGTATTAACAAACCCCTAAAGCAGACATGGTTATTTTTACAATTGAAAAGCTAAGACCGTTTCCCAAGGAGAATGTTGGAGTGGGGTGGGGGCTGGCAGAAGCTGCCTCTGAGACCCTGGACTCTGGAAAGAAGCAGCGTGACTTGACTCTTTAAAGGCTCCTCCGAGGCTGGAGCCCATGCTGGGTGGTCCCATGTGACTCCCTCCCCCATCCCCTGGCTGTGCCGCCCCTCGCTGCCCCCTCTGAGCTCGTCGCCCTGGCGCAGTAGAGGCAGAGGTCCCAGCCCGTCAGGCTGACACCCTGCTGGCCCTCTGCAGCCTGGGCACAGTGATGGGTGGGGGGGCTCCGGGCGTCTGTGCCAGCCTCTGCGCCCTCCTCACTGGTCCCTTTTACTTGAACCAAAAAGAGAGGTGTCTCAGCCCAAATGACAAAGCTGAGGTCCCCTCCCCCACCTTGCCTAGCCTCCCCTGCCCCCGCGAGTCACCTCTGATGCTAAAGGACCCTCTCGTCCTTCTGTGCAGCTGTCCCTGCCAGGCTCCCAGGGTCCCTCGGGAAGGAGCCAGGTGCCCCAGCCCACCAGAGCCTCACTCCCCCACTAGTCCATCAGCCGCAGGCTGGCCTCTCCCCCAGGCCTTTCCCATGCTGCTCCCCAGCGTGGGGGCCCTTCCTTTGCCCTCTTTTCTACCTGCTGAACTCCTACACATCCCTCAAGGTCCAGCTTTCAAGTCCCCTTCTGTCTGTGGCCTTCCCTGATAAGTTGCTGTCTCCCTTCCCTTGTACCTCCTCGTGTTTTGTGGTCAGATGGCCGTGTGTCCTGTTCCGCCCCTCAGCATACTTGGAGCCCCGAGGAAAGCTGTGGGGGCGGCAGGTCAGAGCGTGAACCTGAAGCAGTCAGACTTTCTTCTGGGTGCCGCTTTGCCTTCTCGAGGCTGTGTGACCTTGGGTGAGTCACTTTTCTCTCTGTGCCTCGGCTCACCTGTAAAGTGGGGGTGACATTGGTGCCTGACCCTCACAGTGGCTTTTGGGAGGAATTAGTGGGACCAGATACTGCAGCATCCGCCCAGGGACGGGCACAGAGCGGGCACTTGACAGGCGTTGGACAAACGCTTCAGGGAAACCAGCTGAGGGGAGCCGAGCGCTGGGCCCAGGGGCTCAGCTGCAGCTGTGTGGAGGCTGTGGAGTTGTTTGCGGGGCCCTGGGAGGCATGGGAGGGATCTCTGTCCCAGAGGTCAGCCCTGGGTGACTCCCTGCCCTGGTCCCCAGGTGTACCTCTCTGGGGACTTGGCCAGGGCTGGCCAGGGGGTCGCAGCTCCAAAGTGGGGACCCCACCTGCAGTGAGATGAGAGGGTTGGCCTTTGAACCTCCGGTGACCAGGCAGAGCTGAGTTACACAGTTCCAGGAATGAGGGGCTGCAGGCTGGGGCCTTGGGGAAGGGGATGTCCAGGGCCTGAGTGGCCAGGGGCTGGGGACCAGGGTGGGGGCCTCCAGCAGGGCTCTGGGTTCACTGGTCCAGCAGCCGCCTTGTCCCAGCCCCAGAGCTTGGGAACTGCTAACTCAGACACATTATCAATGGAAAAGAAAACAGTCTCCATTGTTTGAGGGGAGATGGGGAGTCAGGGCCTCGGACCAGCTCCCAGGAGGGACCCAGGCCTCTCCTCGGGCGCCTCAGGTGCAGCCCCAGGGGTGTCAGCCCGCTCCCAGGGATCGCCCCAGGCAGGGTCCTTGCCATGCACGCAGCTACTTGTGGTCCACTTGGGGCTCCCTTCTCTGGTTGAGGCAGTCACGTGTCCAGCCTGGGAGAGGGGTGGGTGCCAGGAAGTAGCCCCTCAGGACAGGGTCACCGGAAGGAGTGGGCCTGGGCCAGGCCCTCCCCACTCCCCCGGGGACCTGCCCCTCCTGCAAGTGTGGGGGCTCAGGGAATGAGGCCTGGATGGGGCCTCCGGACGGGGAGGGGCTGAGAGGTCAGACCCGCTGCTGGGGCCCCTGTGGAGGTCTGCGTCCTCCCCAGTTATTCAGGTAAGCCCCACGCCCCCTCCCCAGGGTGGGGAAGGTCAGTTCAAAGTCCCCTTTCGTGCTGCCACCCAAGGCCCCTCTTCCCCCAGGCTCCACCAGGGCAGGGCTGTGCCCTGTCTTTGCTGACCCCGAGCCTTGGAGCATCTTCAAGACCTGCTGCCCCTCAGGGGGATGAGTCCGTGTGGAGGATTCTTCTCCAACACGGATGACTCTGAGCACCTGAAGTTCCAGAACTGCAGAGCTCCCCCGTAGCAAGGGAGGTCAGGAGGTGAGACTCTTCAGGTATGCCTGGGAGGGGCTTGGGGAGCCTGGGTGCTGCATCTGGGGGTGCCGCAGGTGTCACAGTCCGTCAAGGACACATCTGGGGTGTTGTGTGCGCCCTCTCTTGCAGGTACCGTCAAGCTTGAGCCTGATGCTGGCCTCAGGCCGCCTGTCCCTGTGGCCCAAGCTATCCAGCTGAGCCCAGAGCCGGAGCAAGGCACAGCGACTGCCCAGGGGGCAGGGGCCGCAGGGCCGGTCACCATGCCATATCTGTGCCTTGGCCCACCACCCCCCCGGGTTGTGGTTGCTTTTGTTACCGTCATCGTCACCACCCTTGTTTGGCGTTTCCCGAGTGTCCCCCATGTGTCTGGCTGGGCCTGGGGACGTGTGTGTTTTAGCTCCTTTAAAGCTCACAGCCAGCTAGTGAGGTGGGGCGGCCCTCATGCCCATTTCACAGGGGGCAGAACCAAGGCCTGGACAGAAGGGACTTGTCCGAGGGCCGG